GATTTAACACCCCCTAGTGTTATTTTAACACCATCCATCCATCCATCCATCCATCCATCCATCCATCCATCCATCCATCCATCCATCCATCCATCCATCCATTTTCTTCCGCCTATCCGGGGTCGGGTCGCGGGGGCAGCAGCTTCAGAAGGGAGGCCCAGACCTCCCTCTCCCCAGCCACTTCTTCCAGCTCCTCCGGGGGAACCCCAAGGCGTTCATTCATGTGTATTACAAATATATGATGTCACAGGCACTTTAAAACATCTCAGCACTGTGTTGCTTCAGAATATTAATCATATCTGCAGTTTGTTTGAACTTTCATCAGGTTTTCAGAGCTTTTTTAACAAACTATTTCTTGTTTAATTTTCCTACTGAACTAGATCACCACAGTCCAGTCCCACAGCAGCTGAGAGTTTGGTTCTCAGCCCTTCTAACGAGCCTGAACACAGCCAGCTTCATGTTTATACTGTGGTTCAATCCTGACATCATTTCTACCAACGAGGCAGGTTTCAGCCCCGACATGCTGCTGGATCTGAAGCTTACTGGAGGAAACCAACACCAGGGGCCTCATGTATAAAAGGTGCGTACACACAAAAATGTTGCGTGTGCCAGGTTCTACGCCCACGTTGTGATGTATTAAAAAACAAACATTGCGTGAAAGTGTGCGTATATTTATACACTCTTTTCACCTGCTGTGAGAATGTGCGGCAGCCACGCAAAGTTTTTCAGTCGACAGTTTTAACTCACAAAGTCACGAATCTGACCTGAATCTACAGAAATATGACTTTGTTGTGTTTTCTAAATGTAAGGAGCGTCTGAACACAGTGTTAGATTATTTTTTTACTGTTTGAACTCGAACGATGATGAAACTGAACCCCGGGACTGAAAATCTTTTAACCTCAGACAAGAAAATAGATCAGCCTAAAAATGGTCAAAAAAAACCTCAGTCCAGTCTGTAAACTGTAAACTTTTTATATTGTTGTCACGTAGTTGGAAACACACGCAGAGCACATGGCCTGCGGAGCGCACACACAGCTGAGAATAAAATGTCTAAAAAATTGTCTAAGAAACATTTTTAATTTTCACTGAGAAAAAAACTTTTGTCAACTCAGCAGATTAATTTAGAACAGCTCAGCTGTGATGATTCCTCAGCTCCACAAGACCCAATAGATTTATTGCTGCGTAAAGTTGTGCGTATGGATCAATGTCAGCTGTTCACACTCCCACACCGCGGCAGAAACTCGCAGCGCTGCGAGTCCAACGCATTCTCGACTGCGTCCAGTTTTGACATGCCGGGTACACCCCCCCCGCCACCCCCACGTCAGCTTTTTACAAGATGAGGCGGAGGAGGACGGGCGTGTTCTATTTTTTACAAGAGCAGGAAATGCGCGTTTCTTCACATCAACTATTTAATAAATATTTTTCTTATGAAAAAAGTCATAAGTTCCTCTGTGTTTACAGTCATTTATTAAAGACGTGTACAGGTGGAAATGTCTCTCAGCCTCATGCGCCGCTGAAAATAACAGCACAAGTGCACACACACCAACACCCACACACACCTTTGCGAGTGGCAAACACATTTTTTCACCCCACTACTTATTTAGACAGTTTTCTCACTCATTCTCCATTTAATGTATAATTTTCCTACATCTAAAAGTCATTTCTGATCCCACAGAGAGGACAATCTGAGGAGAATCTCACACACTGGACACATTTACATCTGTTTTACAGATTTAACTGGAGGCGTGTCAGGGGAGGTGTCTCATGTGCGCTCAGTTCCACGTTCATTGGGATGTTTAAAGGAAAGGTGCGCAGGAACCTGCGTGCGCACGGTTTTATACATCTGAATATTTTGGTGCGGCGCACTTTTCTAAATTTGTCCGTACGTCAACTTTTAGTGTGAAAATTGCGCAATCCTTTATGCATGAGGCCCCAGAACATGACAACACTTCACTATTAAAGCGATGTGGAAAGTATTCACACCCTTAAAATTCTTGTGTAACTACTAATGTTTCAAACAAATCTTATTAAAGTAATAATAAATAATGTGATTTATTTATGTATTTATTTTTTACTGCGTGAGTGAGGACTGCAGGTTGTGTGTTTGCTGATCAGAAACATTTATTTATGATGAAAAAAAAGAGGCATAAGATCCATGTCACCTAACAGGACATGACACCCAGGGGGGGGGGGGGTCTGGTCTTCAGTGCAACATGTTCTACTGAGACGCTGAGTCGTGATAATATCAGAGTGGAGACCAGCCTGAGTCAAAGCTTTTTGGTTTCATTGATTTTTTCTAAAAGGCTACAAAGATTAATGAGTTTTTCTTCTGGAACAACCTGATGCATAAACCATATTTATAGTGCTAAACATGCTTGATTGTTTTTATTCAAGCATAATTATAATTGTTTACTATGTTTGTAAAATCTGACTGATAAAGAACAAACGGTGCAAACCTCCAGAAGTGCAGCTCAAAGCCCTCACACTTGTCCTTGCACTTCAGACAAGCCGCTCCGGCACCAAACTCGTGGCCGAGGGTCATCTGTAAAAGAACAAAAACACACAAAAATAAACACTTTGGAAGAAATGTGCCACTGCAGCTCTTGGCTGAAACTGCAACATTCACCAAACTTCCTCTATAAAAGAGCAATTTGGGACTTGAATTATTGTAAATAAAAAACTAGCCACCAGTGGGAGGATCTGAGAGGAAACTACAGCAGTGAGTTTTTCCACTAGCTGAAGAAATGACAACATTTTGTTGTAAAAACTGTGTGACTAAAGAGCTTTAAGATGAATGTCCAAACTGAACATTTTTTAGTAAAACCTCCATTAATCATAAAACATAGAATGAAATTTTGGAAAATTCAAGCTATGTTTCTACTGTTAAGACTGAAGTATGGAGTTCTGAAGAGAACTGGGTTCTCACTTATTTTGATAAATGTGTTTATGTGAAAATTTATTGCAGCTTTGTGATGTTTGTGTTATGCCATGTAACATGTCGTTACCAGAACTCATACCACAGTACTCATGACTGAGCTGCAACAATTTTTTTTTTTGCAAAGCTGAGAGAGGAGTGGTAAAAGAGATGATGAAAAAGAAAGAACACTGGGTGAATAAATATAAGGGTTGTACTTTAGCTAATAGTGTTAAACACACACACACACACACACACACACACACACAGACACACACACAAACACAAACACACACACACACACACACACTTATGAAACTCACAGAAGTTTATGAAATTTCTGTACATAAAACAAGTTAAGTTATTTGGGAGGTGGGCGATAATGATGAAGTCTTTACTAACATGTTGCATACTTTGACCATGCATCCATTCTGGGTCAAACAAAATAATGTTTTGTCTCATCAGAGAGAGGAAACCTGCTGCAGAATGTCTGATAACACAAGTAAGGTTTCTCCTCCTGGAGCTCCTAATAGCTCCAGTTCTGAGGAGCTTTAGGTTGAACAATTTCAGAGAATATTATGATGGTGATATCAGATGTGACGAGTCTTTTTTTCTTCCCTCATAGTAGAGCCGTTGCTCCTCCACGTCGAGAGGAGCCAGTTGAGGTGGTTCATCTGGTTAGGATGCCTCCTGGACGCCTCCCTGGTGAGGTGTTCTGGGCACGTCCCACTGGGAGGAGGCCCAGAGGAAGACCCAGGACACGCTGGAGGGATTATGTTGCTCTGCCTGGGAACACCTTGGGATTCCCCCAGAGGAGCTGGTCTAAGTGGCTGGGGAGAGGGAAGTCTGGGCGTTTCTGCTTAGGCTGCTGCCCCCTGTGACCCGATCCCAGATAAGAAGAAGAAAACAGACCTTTCTGATCTGCACTTCCTACTTTATGTGATCTTTTGTATTTTTGGCAATGTCATTTGCTGCTGTGGAACTCTGTACTATCTAAATACTGCATTAGCATGAAAAATACAATTTCAAAACTCTTCAAATACATTAGTCAACAATTACTGCACTCCAAGCAGTCCTTTGCAACATGAACATTGTGCACACTGATACTGCGATGACGATATATTCGCGATATATTTTGCAGCCCTAAGCTTTACTCCTACGAACTTCAAAATTTCTATTTTCTCCCAAAACAGTTAAAATTTTTGTTCCATTTCCAGCGACAGCTTGTGGAAGAAAAAAAACACTCAGATTAGAACAAACATGTTTTTTTGTGAACACAATTAAACAGGAAACTGCAGCACAGTTAACAGGCTCTGAAGGGATTACACAACCAGGAAGTGCATATGTGATGAATGAATGAAACTGTTTGCACAGACCCAGAGAACTCCTCTGATGTTGTGCAGATGTGTTGTGATCTGAGCACAGAAAGATTTTACTTCAAACTACAACTAATCCTGAAGTAAAAGAAGGAATCCTGATCCTTCAAGCTTTCTTTTGTTTCTCCCCGACTCCTGCGTCAAACCACGCTCATGTCCACCTGAAGCTATCCCCCCCGTTCGTGACCATATATGGTCAACTGAGGCTGGTGGGATCCCAGCCCACACCCCCGCTGTCAAGACCATGTTTATGACCTGAAAGACACTCAGGGCTGAGGAATGCAGACAGAAGTCCTGTTTGGAACAGTGCTGCAGCTTCACAAGTTCAAGTGTCCTTTTCGAGGAGCAGGAAATCCTCTAACATGAAAAAAATGTGATGATTAAAATGCCAAACGGTTCAGATAACGTCAGTACAGCTGGGCCTGAGCTCTGCAGCCGTCTGTGTGGCCGACAGCTGAAATAAAACATCAATTTGGCAAAAAGGCTGGAAGTTAAAGTCGCTTTAAGATAAACTATGAACTTAACTGCCACCATAAAAAGATGCTTTAATAGACTTGAAGGAATGCACATCACCTGCTGCCGTTCATGCCAGAGTTTAAAGGCTGAGAGCAGAAGACGTTACAAACGTTTTCTTGTAAAACTAAAAAAAAAGCAAAATCTCATTAAATTATAACATCTGGTAAAATGTGGTGTGTTGATTCAGCTATGACCACAACAGAATTCTGTAAACGTGACTGGGTTTTAACCATTCATGTGTTGGTTAATGTGGATTATAGAGACCTGAACAGATCTCTCCCCTCATGCTATTCATTTATTTGTACAAGCAAGAGGACAAAAACACCAACATTTACAGCAACTCCACCTCATTTCCCATCTGTCTACTGGCTGATTTAAAACAAGGCCAGTGGGTGTGTGTCCATCTTTTAGAACAAGTTTCATCCTCAGTATTAGCAGTGAATGCATCAGTAACTGTTTATATCCAAGCCTGCAGGAGGTTCAGTCTGGTAACAACATGCTCCAACAACTACACACAGTCTACCAAGCAACTATGATGCAACGCCACAGAACTCCTCCACTTCAGAGGGTTGGACTCATGAGTCACGGTGGTGCAATAGGACACAGCTTGTGGCAGCTGTAACATTTCAGCAGACTTTTACTTCACCGGGGGCCTCATGTATAAACGGTGCGTACGCATAAAAAATTTGTGTGCGCCAGGTTCTACGCCCACGTTGTGATGTATGAAAACCAAAGTTGCGTGAAAGTGTGCATATATTTATGCACACTTTTCACCTGCTGTGAGAATGTGCGGCACCCACGCAAAGTTTTTCAGTCAACAGTTTTAACTCACAAAGTCACGAATCTGACCTGAATCCACAGAAATATGACTCTTGTGTTTTCTGGATGTAAGGAGCGTCTGAACACGGTGTTCGATCATGAAACTGAACCCCGGACTGAAAATCATTTAACCTCAGACAAGAAAATAGATCAGCCTAAAAATGATCAAAGAACCTCAGTCCAATCTGTAAACTGTAAAGTGTTTATATTTCTGTCACGTAGTTGGAAACACATGCAGAGCACAGGCCCAGGAGGTGTACACACAGCTGAGGAGAATAAAATGTAAAACATAATAAAAACATTTTAATTCTCACTGAGAAAAAAACGTCAACTCTAGTCTGCAGAATAATTCAGAACAGTTTAGCTGTGATGATTCGTCAGCTTCACAAGACGCAGACAATAGATTTGTTGCTGAGTAAAGTTGTGTGTAATTTATGGATCAACGAGAATGTGTTAGTTCTGCAGGGTGATATGACCACAACAATTGAGGACAGCAAGTTTTTTGCTTGTTTGTTTGTTTGTTTGTTTCACACCGAAAAAAATTACAATCAGGTATTTTACTGAGACGAGCCATGCAGCTGATCTGAATGAGAAACTTCATGATTCTAAAATATAAATCACACCGCGGCAGAAACTCGCAGGTCTGCGAGTCGTTTCTTCGCATCAACTATTTAATACATATTTGTATAAGTTCTACCAAACTCATCAGTTCATTTATTAAAGACGTGTAAAGGTGGAAATGTCTGTCAGCCTCATGCACAGCAGCTTAACACGCACGCGTACACACCAACACCCACACGCACCTTTGCAAGTGGCAAACTCATTTTTACACCGCTGACAATTTTCTCACTCATTCTCCATTTAATGTATAATTTTCCTGCATCTAAAATCATTTCTGTGAGGGCCTGCACCTCCGTCAGGCAGCGTAGGGACACGTTCCTGAATCATCTGTCAGAAACTGTGACGGTCTCTTTAGGATAAATTTACAAAAACGTCACTGCTTGATTAACCAAAAAGAAAATCTGTCATAACTTCAACTATTACCTGCAGACACATTCTTCTGCATTCATTAAAGACAAGTGAAAAAGATGAACAAACAAAACTTTACTGCAACGTTTCTACAACAGGAAGCTACGGTAGCTCTGCTGGGACAAACTGCTCCTCACAGCAACTACTGGGTCAGCAAAGTCTAAATTAATTCATTATTTCATTACATCAATTGATGCATTAACCTTCCTAACAGCTCAGATGGTTTATCGTGTTAAAGCTTGACAGTAGGGTCGTGCGCAACTAATCATCAGTAAAACTGACAATAATTAATATTTGCTACTTTGGAATTACTGCAATTAGTGCCATGTGACGATGACGAGTGTGTGAGACACCATCAATATCCGGCATGACCCTAATGTTTGAAGGCAGCGTGGAGCAGCTACCACCAACTCTACAAACTTGTTTAATCACCAGAGTACGAGGATCAAGGCCACAATGTTAGTACAACTGTCATCTATTAATCGTCATATTAATCTTTATCGGCTAAATGGCACATTTAATTGGGATGTATTTTTATGCCAATACAGCCAAACCCTATTTGACAGTAACAGGAAATACAGCAACTTCTGACTGAACCTTTACAGAAGATCAACTCTTCCAAGAATAAAAAGCAGAAGTGACCCAGAGTCTGTTTTAGTCATCTGGACCCGTATTTATAAAACTTCTTAGAGTGGATTTTTAGACTTCAGTGCTGAAAATTTCTTAGATTTGCTCCTACTCAGACTTAAGTATAAGTACGAGTTGTGAAAATTCTTAAGTCAAAGAATCACTCTTACTCTCAAGAAAAATTCAGACTGCTCCAGAGGACTCTTAAGTGGTTAAGAGTTGCCACTACGGGTCTGAGATGAACTGAGGAGACAGAGATTA